AATAGATTCAATAACAATATATGAGAGGAACATAACTGAAGAGTAATGATTTATAAACAATAGTATCTTCAACAATGAAGTACTACACACTATTAAAAATGTGCATATGATAATTTTTTAATGTTATGAGAAAATACAGGGTTAAGGAAAAAAGCAAGATACAAACAGTATTTACAGTACAGTCAAGACTAAGTTAAAATAAGCATAGCAAAAAGATAGGAAGAAAAAATACTCTAAATTTCTAAGGGCACCAATCTTTGAGCCATGAGGAGATGAATAGTGAGGTCTGGGGATTATTTTCCAACTTCTATGAATAGTATAAATTTGTATAGTATCTATGCTAGATCTAATTAAAATAACATAAAATTTACCATTTTAACAATTTAAGTGGACCACTGAGTGCCATTAAGTACATTCATATTGTTGTGCAAGCATCACTATCATTTATCTACAGAACTTCATCTTCTCCAAATAAAACTTCATACTTCTCAGTTAAGCAATATTTTACCAGTACTTCCTCACCCTAGCATCTGATAACCACTATTCTAATTTCTGTCTCTGTGAATTTAACTATCTTGATATAAATGGAATCATACAGTATTTGTGCTTTTGTGTCTGGCTTATTTCACTTAGCACAATGCCTTCAAGAATTATCCATGTTATAGTATGTATCAAAATTGTATTGCTTCTTAAGGCTAAATAATAGTCCATTTTTTGTATATACCACGTCTTCTTTATCCTCTCATCTGCTAATGGACATTTGAATTGTTTCTACCTTTTGGCTACTGTGAATAATGCTGCTATGAATATGTACAAATTTCTATTTCAGCCCCTGTTTTCAACTTTTGGGTGAATATACCTAAAAATCAAATTTCTGGACCATATGACAATTCTATGTTTAATTTTTTGAGGAAGCACCATGCTCTTTTTTCCACATAGGCTATACCATTTTACACTCCCATCAGTAACTCACAAGGGTTCTAATTTCTCCACATCCTTTCAATTTTTTCCTTAACAAGGTTAATCACTTCATATGGCAATTTTTCTAAAACGTATCACTCACTTTCTAGCCTTCTTGAAAAAATAATACTGAACAAAATTTAGCCTTTTTTTTAAATGAACTATACAATTGTTGCCTCCTCAGGAGCTACTGCAATATATTTTTATCTAGTAACTATTTTGTTTGATGACTATTTTATTTAATAATTATTCTCAGCTATTTTCATGGATTAGATCAATCCTTTCAATCTCCTGTGAAATATCATCTCCATTTCACAGAAAAGTAAATAGTATGAAGAAGTAAAGGAATTTTTCCAAGATCACACAGCTAGTAATTGAGGACAGCAGGATTCAAAGTCCATGTCTTTACACATTTTGCTAGACTCCTAACCATCTAAGAATGTTTGTCTCTGTATTTAATGTCCCCAAATTAATACTGTACACTCTTAGAAAATTTGTGCATGTTATTTAATGTTTTATTCTGTTTTTCCTTCTGCTTGTTACTGTTGTAAAAGCAGCTACCTTCAGCCATTTTCTCCTCTGCAACCCACATGTTGATACTGATATCCTGTAATCAAGAAAAAAGAGATAGAAGAGAGAGCTAAAACTGCATGAGAAATCCAACTGCACAGATTTGAGAGAATTTTAGGGATCAACCTCAGGAGAAAAAGGAATGAGTTTAGGTATTTGGCTTTCATGATAACTATTTTGGTAGTTTGATGGTCTGTTTGGCTTATTTCTGGCTTTCCTCTTGTGTTCCAGGTGCTGTATGAATGAATATGAGTGCCTGCTCTTATTCCTACTTAAATTGTGTAATCTGGTATAAATTATTTTTTGAAAGTTTGCCCAAAGTAATTAATATCCTTTAGGTGTATGATATTCTCTTTTAAAAAATCTCTACTTACTATATTCATGATATACACAGAGGGAGACTCAAGGAAAAGATTTTTGATATTGCAACTGTCTTGTCCTACATCAAAACTATTCAAACTATAGATCTAATGACCACTGATCATAGACGCCCATCAACATCAGCCTGGGATATCTTTACAGAAATTTTTTATATGCTATAGATATATTTTCAGGAAAGAATAGATACATGTTTCTTTCCTTGTGTAACATGTATATTGTGAAATAATAAGCATTTAACTTTTTGAAATCAAACATCCTGCCCAATAAAGTAGGAGTCACTATAAATAAATATAACAGTGAGTCGTGTGTATCAAAATCCTTTTATTTGAAGTAAATCACCAGTACCAACACATTACCCCATTTCACATCAATATCTGCTTTTCCAGAAATCAAAGTTTCTCTATATAAACATTTCTTAAAGAATTTTTTCACATCTTTAAGATTTTTCTAGAAAATAGGTGAAAAACAAGAGTAAAGCTGAAAGAACATTTTTCACTCAAAATACCAAAGGGAAAGATAAACAATTTCTATAGAAAACTTCTACCTATCCATATCCCTTTAAGTCCAGTTATAAGTGTGTGATAAATGTTAGTTTTCTACTACTTGGTTTATAGCTAGTTTCCCTGTAAATACTTTGAGCAATTTACACAACAAAATCAGATTGGTGGCAGTTCGAGGTGGGGTATAAAGGAACAAAACTACATTCCCAGAGAGCTGAACTAGTTGATGGGAATAGCAATTATTTTATCCACAATTTTGTGGCTGTAAGTAATTAAAGCTGAAAGAAAATAACGTCAGAGTGTTCCATTATTTCTTTTAAAAATGTACTCCTCAAATCTACAAGTTTAAAGATACAAAACCTTTGAAAAGTGAAATAAGTGTTAGTCATTCAGAAATGTCCAACTCTTTGCAACCCCATGGACTGTAGCCCACCAGGCTCCTCTGTCCATGAAATTCTCCAGGCAAGAATACTGGAGTGAGTTGTCATGGCCCCCTCCAGGGGATACTCCCTGACCCAGGGAGCAAACCCAAGTCTCCTGCATTTTGCAGACAGATTCTTTACCATCTGCGCCATTAGGGAAGCCCTCAAATCTAGAAGTTTAATGAAACAAAACCTCTACTGGATGTCAAAATTTGATCATTTTTTATAATAACCTCTGACTAAAATAGTAGTATTGTTAATATCAACAAATATACTCAAATTCTGAAATGATTCAATTAACACTTTTAGGAACTTTTTGTAACCAGACCTTACAAATGTATCATACATACTTCTCTTTGTTTTTGTCACATAAAGAGGTGGCTACGGTCTATAATTAGTTGTACCCAGCTTCAACTAAACACACAATCCTGTGCAAGTTAATATCCTTCTGTGTGTGTGTGTGTGCGCGCGGGGGTGTGTGTGTGAAGTTGCTTCAGTCGTGTCTGACTCTGCAACCCACTGAACAATAACCCGCCAGGCTCCTCTGTCCATGGGATTCTCCAGGCAAGAATACTGGAGTGAGTTGCCATGCCTTCCTCCAGGGAATCTTCCCCACCCAGGGATCAAATCCACATCTCTATGGCTCCTGCATTGGCTGGCGGGTTCTTTACCACTAGTGCTACCTGGGAAGTCCCAATATCCCTGTAAGTGACCTCTATTCTCCACATTTTGCTTTTCTAAATTCTAACTACTTGCCTCCACCATTCATTGTAGTATTGCTTTATATTATCTTAAATTCTTCTATAATTTTTCATATACGGATTAAGTTTTACTGTTAAGTACCACCCATATTAACTAAGACAGGCTGAATGTATAGTGAGATTTAAATAATTTTTTTCCAATCAATAAATAATAAATTTGTCCAAAGAAGAAATTATTGGGACTGAGCATTCTTCAGGGCAATTATAACCATGGGAAATTAGAGCAATAAACCAGATGAATTTTGGATGAGGCCCAGAAGCCTGGGTCTTCAGCTGTGAAACAGCCCTTCAAAATAAAATTAGCTACTTAGAAGCATCTAAACTTATTGGAAGCTGGTATACAATCAACATCCCAAAGTTGAAAACTCTTCACTAAAATACAGTTCACTCTATTTTATTGTGGTCACAAAGTAGCACAAAACATTTAAGGAAAGCTTTGAACATGTAGTAAATAATGTTTGGGGAGACAAAAATCAGAGGGTTTAACAAGCAAATATAATGGAATTGAGAATAGAGCTGAAAATGGCAGGACAGCTACTTTGTTTTAATAGAAATTTAATAAGTGTATTCTATCAAAAGTTTGAACTGGGCTTCAAGTTACTGGTTTCCAGCTGTTACAGTTAAAAGAAAGAAAAAAGGAAGGGAGAGAGGAAGGAGAAGTGAAAGGAAAGAAAAAGAGTAGAAAAGATTTTAAAAAAAACCCCAAAAAACCCTGACATATTCTTCTAGAGCTCAAGAAACAATCTGACAGGTTTGTAACATTTCACTGAAACCAGAAGCAGAATCATGATGGACTGAAGTCTCAATCAGGCCCTTTAAACATCTGTAGCTTCGTTTAAAATGACTAGGGTGAAATGCATCAGCTTACGGAAAATGGGGAGGTCTTCCAGGAGTTGGCCTGTGTTCTAGGTGATGGGTGCTGATGAGCAATTCCCTTAGACAACTGATTCACTGCCAGCAGAGAAAAACATTGGAAGCACATCCAAAAACTCATTTGTAATTGAGGTTACAAGGATAGCCATTCTGTCCACCTTCCCCTCCCTTGCCAGGGAGGCGACCCTGTTCCTGGCAACCACAAAGGCCACAGAAGAACCCTTCTTTCCCTAAACCCTCTTCTTTTGCCCCAAGAGTCTCTATAAAATCTGCCTTTCTCTGTTTTCCAATCGCTTCCTCTCTCCCTCGTTTTCTTTCTTTCTCTCCTTCCTTCCCTCCCGGCTCGTCGCAAGCGAGACAAAGTCAGGCACAGGCGGCGGGCCCATGTATTCGCTGGCACCATCTGGCACCTGCGATTCATCGCCACTTTCCACCTCCCGGAGGTGAGAGGGGCGGGAGGCCAAGGACACTTGTGTGACCCAGTTTTTAGGAAACTTTCAGTTGGTCGCAACCCTTCCCCCAGCCGAAACTCTTCAATCATCCATCAAGGCAGAAAAGCCAGAAAAGCGATCTCTGCCTAGCCTTGGAGTAGGGAAAGAGGCGAAGCAAGAAAAACCAAGGGGTTCGCCCCATTCCTTTCCCCCACCGCCCCGCAGCGGCGGGCGCAGAGCAGCGGTGCGGCCAGAAGGGGCCGCTGTGCGCTCAGAGCAGCAGCCCCGCCGCCGCCGTCCGCACCTCCCACGGCCGGGCTGGCCCAGCCCCGCCAAGTTCCAACAGCCCCCAGTCGAGCGAGCGCCGGGAACGAGCACCGCCCGGGCAGAAGCACACGGCGCAGACCAGCCAGACTGAGGCGCGCGGCGGGAAGGCTCCGGCGAAACTCCCACCAGCCGGGGACTTTGGAAAGAAGCGAGCGAGCGGTACCCGCGCGCGCGAGTCCCCAAGTGAGCGCTCAGCTCACCTGTTTCTGCCGCGCCACCGCCTTCCCACCCCTCGGACCCTCGCCTCCCGAGTCGCCCGCCCGCGATGAATCCGGCGCTGGGCAATCAGACCGACGTGGCCGGCCTGTTCCTGGCCAACAGCAGCGAGGCGCTGGAGCGCGCCGTGCGCTGCTGCACCCAGGCGTCCGTGGTGACCGACGACGGCTTCGCGGAGAGCGGCCCGGACGAGCGCAGCCTGTATATCATGCGTGTGGTTCAGATCGCCGTCATGTGCGTGCTCTCGCTCACCGTGGTCTTCGGCATCTTCTTCTTGGGCTGCAACCTTCTCATCAAGTCCGAGGGCATGATCAACTTCCTGGTGAAGGACCGGAGACCGTCTAAGGAGGTGGAGGCGGTGGTCGTGGGGCCCTACTGACCGGTCCCCGGCCCCCGCAGCAGCCGCCCCTAGCCTCTCCACTTCGCCAGCCCGGCCGCGCCCCCTCACCATGCGAGACTGGGCGAAGCAAACCTGTCGGAGTCAGTTTTTTCTCTCGACTTCTGCCTTTCGGGATGAAGCGAACCCGTTTATCGCTCGCCCTCTGAAAGTCCCCAGGTCTGGCAGTAGGAGAAGAGAGCCCTGACTCTGGACTCAGCAGCAAGTGGCAAGAGAAGGCGAATAGGGCGCAGAACTTTGGAAGCTGCCACTGGCGCAGAATGCGGGGACACCGACCCAGGCCAAGGCCCCTTTCCACCCGCAGGTGGGCCAAGCTCGGGGGGCGGGGGGGCAGGTGGAGAGGGCGGGCAGGCAGAGACCAACGGCATCTATTGCCTGGTGACCGGAAAAGTGACCCGCATATACGCCACTTAACCGAACTAACGGGGACACGCAAACCGTGGCCAGGTTCGCGCCCATTCCCTCCCGCTCCTTGCAGCCCTGGCAGGACAGACGATAAAATACCTTTGATTGATTGTAACGTGCCGTTTAAGGGATTTTGTGTGTGTTTGCTTGAATACGAATATTTGATAAGTCTTTTTCCGCCCTAGTGGCCTGTTTCCCTGCCTGGGGGTTAGAGTTTTGTGTTAGGGGAAGGGGTGGGGGGAAGGGGAGCCTGCTAATGTGAATGGGGTGAGTGGTTTCTTTTATTGCATTTCCAACTGGGTCTTTGGGGGGCGGGGGGCGGGGTGGTGGGGACTGGCACTCGAGCTGGCCCCGGGGCAAAGATCCGGAATGGAACTCCTAGCTCGTGACTGCACGGTTTACACCACAAAAGTGCTCTTGACATTCGTGAAACCGTTTTGACTTTTTTTTTTCTTCCTTATTTAAAATTTCCTTAATAAATGCAACGTTTAAGTGTTTTGTTCCTGGCCTCCTGGTGGTCATTCTGCGCTCAGGGCCGAAGGGAACGGGTGACGCTGAGGGGTCAGGCTACCAGTCCGAGGTGGAATGCGCTTTGGCGAGCTGCGATTCAACTCGGAGATCCTACGCAGGCACGAGGGTGGGAGCCAGACAGAGAGGCCCAGGGACGAGTGCCCTGGCCAAGCCTCAGGCCCTGGAGCCGTCCTGGAGGCAGCATCCTTTGTTTTCCCTTTCAGTTAATATTTTACATTTCATTTAGGCTCAGCACTCTGAGCCAGGCGAGAAAACGGGAGGTCCCCGCGGGAAGATTACACTTCCGTGCAGGGCTCCGGTGGGAACACAGGGCTACACCGTTAATGAAAGGAAGAGACGGCTTGGCTAGGCTTCAGGGAGGGCATCTTCTGACCAACGTCAGCAAGCAGGCGTCAGGATCCTGACCAAAAAAAAAAAAGACGAGGAAAAGTAGTTCCTAAAGTAAAGAGTGACGCTGATTCTGCCCGGGGTACACCATTATTACTAAAACAAGACGTATATTGTCTTTGTCATATTACCTTTTATATCTGAAGGGCGAAATTCAAAGATAAACGCTACCTGGGTAATCAGTCCCAGGCCCAGCCAAAAGGTTCAGAGGAGTTAATCGAGGTTCTGAATGTCAGAGATGTGTGTAACCCAAACTTGGAAGTTGGCCGGAAAGGAGCTACAGATGGTCTTTGGGCTCAGAAATTGAAGGGGATTTGGAAAGAAAAGCCTGGAAAACTGTGAATATGAAAATAACCCAAAGGATACAATAACTTCGAGCTGAAACTTGACAACAGTTTTTGAGCAGTTGTTTTTACACCTGGGGTAGGATCCTAAATATTTTCAAGAATCTAAAGAATCCTCTACTATGGTATAGCAATTAAAGGCTTCACTGTAGCAGATATAAGGTGGACTAAAATAAAAACAACAACAACAACAATGAAGTGCCCTATTTAATTAAGAGGCACAAGTGGTATAAACAATGTAAGTGTCTGAAGGGTTGGGATCAAATGTTTGTATCCCTTAACATCCTGTCCACTCGGGTATCTGTTTCACTCCCAAAGTAAATCTTTGTCTATGTCCGGATATGACATAGAATGTTGGTGTTTTTTTTTTTTGAATGCTAATAGATATCAGGCTTGAAAAAGAAAGGATTTTGAAGTTTTCCTATTGTTCCTGTATGTTCAGCAGGTAAGCATTTGCTTATTTTCTTCTGTCTGGGCAGGGGAGCAGGAGCAACATGTATGTGGTCAAGAGTGAGTCATGGAGGGCACTTTAATTTGTTAATAAGTAAGATAGGAAATGGAGACTTTCTATTCTGTAGCTGGTTTCTGTGGCACCAAGTTAATCTGCTGTTTCCATGTTTCAAAGAAAGCAGAACAACCAGTTCGCTCAGGGAGAAACCAGACATTTAAAATTAAACTCAGTGTGGAAACTGATTTGGGATCAAAAACCAACCTACCAAGATTCCTACCAAGAGTGTGTAGGGATCTTCCGCTGTTCTCTGCTGTGTACAAGTTATCTGCTTATGGTGAGTTTCAGACACAGAAAGGTCTCAACCTGCAGGTTAGTTTGCATTTGTATAGAAGAGCCTTTTCTATTTAAAGCCAAATTCCTGAAAATTGGGAGGGGGGAGCAGCTGCCAGGCCCCCTACTATTCTCTCCTCTACTAATGCTCTTAAATCTCTGCTACCACTATGGTCTTTCTCCATCCTTTTTCCTCTTAATACTTCTTCACAGCACTTTCCTCTTCCTTGCATCTCAAAGGCAAAATTTATAGTTTTTCCTTAACTATCCAAATTTATAGTTTTTCCTTAACTATCCAGATTTATTGCCTTAACCACCGGAAACTGTGATAGTCGACAAATCAGAACCTGCAAAATTTAGCCCTTAAATAGAAAAGTTATGTGAACAGAGTTCTGTAATCCATGATCTATGCATTATAGGCAAATGCACATGATCTGAAAATATCATAGCCCTGGGGACCATTTCCTGCCAACAGCTCCTCTCTACAGCCTTTAGATCCATTTGTTACTTAGATGCCAAGTAATTCTGGTTTTTATAGATGAGGCAATGTGTGCAAGAAGCTTTTTACACTCCCTATTCCCCGATGGCCACACGGCAACCACTTTCTCAGGCCCCACACCACTCCCTGTCTTACTCTGCCTTTGATTGTCTTTTATCTTGATCCTAACAAATGCATTAAGTGAAACTTTTAAATCCTGCCTAGTGTTTATGGGGCATTGATCCTTTCTTACAGGTGTGCTGCAAGGAAAGTAAGCTTTAAAAGTCACTTTCTGAGTTTCATGGAAGAAAACAATGCCGGACTTAAGAGATTGGGAATTGAGAGGGATAGATGCACACAGGCAGATTTTATCATCCCACACTTAAGTCCACCATGTGGTCAGTAATTAGTGGGAAGTCCTGAGAGAGAGAGGCAAAAAGATGGCTTCCTGTAAAAACTCGCTGGCTCTGGCAGATGGTCCATGGGGAGGCATCTGATACTTTCTGAAACCCTTCTGGAAATACAGCAGAAACAGGGAGAGGATTTCGTGAGACACAGCAAGTGGATTAGCAGGGTGGTAACCCCTCAGGCTGTGCAGACAGCCCCGGATGCCTCCGAGCGTAACTGGATGGCCACTACCTAAGTAGCTTAGCCAATTGTTAGTAAATGTTATTTTTCTTAAGATTGTTGCTATGACTTTACACTTTCTCTGAAAATGTATAAGGACTTGCGTGTTGAACCACTTTAGGCCTGCTTGAGGGAAGTCTAAGCATAACATCACATTATTGTGTTAAGTCTGAGACATGCTGGCTGGTGATGGATGATCCCTGCGCCTGTTTTCTGATTTTCAAGCCACCCTGGCTTCTCAAGGGATCCTCAGTCAGTCCTGTTATCATGTCTTCTTACACTAATTCTGAGTGAGGGAGGAAAAGGCACACTGGACGATGATGTAAGAAAGTTTGCTTCTTACAAGTTCTCTAAGTAACAGAGCAATCAGCCCTAAAATGAGGAAGATGTGTTCTGAAAGGACATTCCTATTCTATGATTCTATTGAATTAGTTTACTATTTCTATGTCTCTTAATGTGTTTCTCAGCTCACTTCAATAGGTATCTTAGAAATCTATTTTGTCTTTCCAGTCTTGTTCTTTTAGGTAGGAAACACCCTCCCCCTAAAGTCCCAGTGCTCCTCAACACAGGATGTTATTTACAACAGCCAAAGCAAAATTTCAGACACCTAGCCAGGCCTAGGTAGATAGCAGTTTCTATGCTGACAAGTCACACATAATCTAACTAGTGCCTTAAATATCCCAGAGCTCTGTGTTCTCACTGGAGGAAGCAATGAAAGGAAAGTCCAGTGAATTGGGGAGCATGTGATTAGCAAATGGTTCCTTTAACTCTGTATACACTTAGACTAATGTGCATTTTTGTTTGCAGAAACTTTCGGGTGTTCAAAGACTAATTAACAGCCACTTTTTCTCCTCAAAGCATTTTTCCCTTTGAGCTTCTGCAAGAGCACACAACAGCTGTTCTGCATGCAGTTTAAAGCCTTCCTTAGCCCTGGCTTATTAGGCTTGTCACTTTGGGGATTGCAATGCCAGGAAAGGATTCCAGGGTTCAGTTTGTTCTGTAAGACTCAAACCCCATTTGAAAGCCCACTGAAGCAGTAAGTCTACAGCAATACCCCAAACAGGAATCAATAAATCTTTCACCCACCTGCCACATCCCATTTAGATATGTGCACAATAGCTCAAATGGGATATGTTTTCAAGTCTGCTCCAACAGTAGTAGTTGTTTCCTAATGTCTGAACTTAAAGTCTCAATGGTTAACTGCTTCCATGGCCAACATCACGCTGTCCTTCTTTCCAGATATTTTTGTATTGTTCAAATGCTTAAACTGTTTAAGAGTCCAGGATTAATTTTATAGCATTAGCTTAGATTTAAAAATTCAGGAAAAAGTCAAAGTATGTAATATTATCAGCAAGTCATGTAACATATCTGGTGATCACAACAGAATAGTCTAAAATTATTACTTATATTTGAGAAATTCAGAATATAT